ACAACAAAGTCACACGAAGCCAGGTCCGGACTGTAGGGTGAATGACCAACCTCCTAGGTGCGTTCACTAACCACAAAATCTACGACGGCTTAGGACTTGGGAGCAAGTATGTTTTCATGGCGCAGCAAGGTCCTTCGTGCTCGAGTCCTTGGACGACGCCTGGATGCAGGTTCCTGTATCTACAGTGACTGCGTTGCCGTACCAGCGGTACATTAGCCACATGATCGGTCTTAACCACGAACACAGCCACTATCCGCTTAACTACACTGCGTCCACGCAGCAATTTCTGTGGCTGTGTTCCAAATACGGTAGTCCACTGAGCCAATAGTTGATTGGTCTCTGCGTCGAAACTGTGCACTCAGATTTTGCCACCACTGAGGATCACCCAAACAGCATTGGAACGTCCACCAGCAAACCTGGCAAGCATGGTGCGGTACCAATGCACCCGACCTGCCTTCTGGTCCTCACTGAGTTGATGGGATACGCAGCATGCACAAACCTTTTTGAGCCCTAGGTTGTAAAGTAGGATGGTGTAGATTGATTCCGATGCGATGCCGATGACTTCCTCAGCTGTACCACAGTAACTGGCGCGTCCTCTTCCAGCATCCCTAGCACAGCAACTATATTGTCCGCAGTGGTGGCATCTGCAGGTGGACCACGACGCGCCTCATCACCCAGAGATAGCCTGCCGCGGTTCATTTGCGCAAATCCCTCAAACACGTTGGTTCACGAAGGAGAATGAAAATCAAACACTGCATACAAGCGCTCAACCCTCTGGTGCTGCATTAAACCACAAATGTACTCACAGAAAATCATCACCCACCAGTGACATCGACTGAGTTCCATACTTACAGTCGGGTTATAGCAACATTAGGAGTTATGCTGGGCTGCTGATCTAGGGTTCTGTGAGTTGAAATCACTGAACATTTTTCAGCTTGGATTGCAGTTCACATTTTCTTGTCAGGTCATCCGCATCTAATCTGTGTACTGCGTATCCGGAAACCTGTTGCTCCGCTCTCGTATCGTATATCTCCATCAAAACTCCACAACCGCATTCCTTGACAATCCAGAGTTAAACAGCGCCCCGGATTAGTGTTGGCTATCAGTCGTTGCAGCATCCTCTACGGCACTTCTGCGTTGCATCTACAACCCCCCGAAAGTGACAGCCGGGGATATTACTATTGTCTCCTCAGCGTTTGAGTTCGCGTCGATGTTACCATATGGGATAAAACTAATCACAGGTGATCTCAATTTACTAGAAATCACTGGGTTCCCACAGCCATTTTCATCGTTGCGTAGACTCCCAGAGTTGGTGGCTGGACTGGTTTACATTTAGTTCGACGAATGCATTCTCACTGGGATTCCCGCCGCACAAGTTAACATACTAGACAACCTCCCTGGTAGTGGCTTATCACTTACATCGAACTGAATAACAAAATAGACTTTGCTACAAAAAATACTATTCAGAAAAGTAACTGAAGGCATTTGTAATAGCTAATCCAATCTATCCACTGGAATATATTTTCCCTTTACTAGCTTTCACCGTGCAGTGGAACAATTCTGTCACCAGCTTTATTGTATCATAGCCCCGTTTCCATCACATGACGTGTTTTCATGGGCCTAAGGATCCCAAGCGAGATTTTAATTTACCTGAATACGAAAAATATAATTACAAAAGCTATTTTACTAATATTACCATTGACTGCATACATCACCTGTATCAAACGCTCACAAGTGATGCCGACTAAAATGGAGGACGAGAGAGCACTACGGAGGGAATGTGAATGAAAGGAATAATTAAAATTTCTTGGTCTTCGAACTAATAACAGGGTGCCTTCTATCAAGTGACGAGTTAATTGGAGGGTCGTCAACTTAAAGTCCTATCCGATATTCATGGACAATTTAGTTTGTCTTTTTGTTGCATCTGTCTACTTAGAAACTGATAACCTGCCATTCTGCGCGGAGTTTACAACAAGCACTATGCACAACAGCGAGACTTCTATTTCCAACATACGAAAGATTAGGAAGTCCATTTAACTACTACTCGAGCTGGATCCAGATGGCATCCGCCAATCCGTAAATACACTCAAGAGACCTGATTTATCGTCGCATTTGCTAAACATGTTCAACATGGCATTAGAAGCCGGCAACTCACCGGACCAGAGGAAAACATGGTATGTTGCCATTGCTCAGAAATAGGCCTCAAACTGACAGTTGCTACTTACTAGCCTCTCCATTACGCATCCATAATTGCCAGAAGGCCGGAAAAAGCAGTCAAAACAATAAGAATGTGCTTTAGCTATCGTCTTGCTTTGCTTAACAAACCCAAACATGGATTCCATGATAAACTTTCCTGGAGAATTTTTCAGTTGTGTTTCCTGGATTAAATCAAAGAATCGGTTGACTGCAGGTGTTCAGTGATACTTTTATTCGTGTATATTCAAAAGACTTTCGAGCGCTTGCCTTACCAGCCGTGAATAAAAAACAGAATTCTTTGAAATCGTTGGTGGGTTTATTGACATCATACTTAAATAGGAGTTGCCAAAATGGCACCCTGAGTAAACGTAACCCTTCCCCAGGTCTAATCACGCGTGATACAATTCAAGGGAATGTATCGGACTTTCTCTTTTCCTACTTTATAACAATGATGTCACGATGTTCCTCAAACATGGCAGGCCACTCTCCTTCGTTGATAACATTAAGATTACTTATAGATTTTGACGAGGCGAACCCCAAAACACAACTTTGCTCGTTCAAGAGGACATCGGTTCTCCTAAGAAATTTTGTGACACGGCCGATGAAGTCCCCAGCAACTATGTTTCACGGTTGTTTGATACCAGAAGAGTTCATTAACCTGAATAAGGAACGCACTTGTGTGAAACTATCTTTATCTAATTTTACGATACTCTTCAAATAACATGCGTTAAACGATCTGTAGATAACATGTGTCATGAAATTCATACAATCCCGGACAAAAGTGAGCTTTTTAACTGCTCACCCTTCCCATCCATGCATAGTGCAGCATCATTTATAGAAACATAAGTATGGTTGAGAGAAAAGCTGTGGCAAACCTGTAAAGATCATTCACCGAAGGTTTGCTCATTAAATATTCAACCTTGGACTACCAGGTGCGTTGCTAACAGTGTGATCTCGAGCGTCTTTGATCACGACGACTGTAAGAGCACTTAATGATATTGCAGCATAGCTTCACTCGGAAACCACGTAACAAGACTTGTAAACTATGCCAAGAACCAAGACAGCTATTTGAGCCAAGTTTTTCCTCATCAGATACTCTGCCTTGTAGAGAGCTTGCCTGTCACCGTCAGTTATTGTACAAACACAAAAACACATTAAACATGAAGATTCGCTGATTCCGAACTTGATAATGAACATGTTTTCGTCTAAAAATTCACCAAATGAGTACTTCCAAGATGAGGCAAATATTATATAACCAGTAAGAAAGCTTGATGCACAAAACGCAGCCATAACCAAAACCATGTAATTCAGAATACCTTAATAACACAGACGCTACTGACTACATACCTCCCTAATGCATGAGTACAAGCATTATTGGATTAGTATTCTCTCCCTATCTCAGAGGTAGCCTCTCACACATCCGAGAAATACAGGCCTTATTAATGTTATTTATCCTACAGGACATGTTATGCTTCGGTTTCATATCCGCTATGTGCCATTGATGATCCACTATTAACAGCTCGTCTCCAGTATTGCTCCTGTTCCGTCCACATCGTACCGTTGCCTGAACCATCATTGAACACGGTGTTCCCGAAGCTGGAGGATATAATGAGTTGGAAACGACCACCCATGTCCAGGATAAGTGGCACTAAATTCACCTGACCTTTCTTGGAAAATGTCGTAGTTATACCGGTATTGAAGGTACTTGGTTCACCGAGTTACAGAGGATGTAGCCCAAGGATTGTGGAGGTGATGCTTCAATCCAGATGTTGGTATGCTCATTGCCGCTGTTACAATTTGAGCTCCCGCTCAAGGCGACGTCCTCCAACCAAACACAACATGATAACTTTACGCAAACCGCGTCACCACAACATCTCGAATAACACTGCCACATGGGTTACACCTAAAGAGATGACCTGAGAGAAACCTCTCGAATCGTTGCATTTGCAGTCGATGCATCGGTCATTGTCCCATCAAAAGAACCGTTTATTGACCCAAGTCACGTCGGTCGACGCAAATTCGCATCAAAAACAAGCCTACGATCCACCATTGAGAGGAGGGAAACTATCTTGGCTGCGCACCAACGCACAAGGCCTACTGAACACGCTTGCTGAACTTCGGCTACTTTAAGAATCGGACATAAGGATCCTCATTTCCACAACTACTGACAAGCAGACCGGATGACTGGTAGATGTCCATGTGATACGGTAAGGAAAATCAAAGTTTGGTCATTGAATTGCGTCGTCGTAGGTATCAGTTCTTCGTTTCGAGTTGTGATAGCGGGATCAATTGGTTGAGCAACATTTGTCACAGAACAATACGGATGCTTGTTTGTCCAATGTTTCGCCAGCAACTTAAAGCCTTCTCTCACGCTCTTTGTTAGCAATACGTTAATGAACTGCTGATGTGTATGGATAGGCATCGTAGCGTAAGCAGGAAAAGGCAGACATAATTGCAGAACTGTTGCTACATTGGATTAGTTGCACATCCAACCAGAGTTTCTCGTCATTTTTAGTTTGCCGGTGCCGTGAAAGAAAACCGAATTCTAACTTAGCGCCTAACAATCAACTTGTCATATCATGAAAAGGAAATAGTTAAGTTCTAAACAAGTCTTTACAATTAACCCAAAATCAAAGCGAAGAAATATATATTTAAACAATGAGTCAATAGAAATGTCTGGAGAACATCCTCATCATTCTGGATAGCACTTCTAAATGCAAGCAGTGTTTGCTTACAACTTGTCTGTATCTAAGAAAACATTTCAGCACCGCAAATTAACAGTTTAGCGCAACAAGTAACCTCACTTTTGCCGTATCTATTCCTTTGTTCACTGACCAAGAGGAAGTAATGTAGTCAATCACTCTCTCTCCGAGCTCCGCCGGAACATCGTGAATGCGAAGAAAGTCTTTAACTCCCTTCATCATTTCGTTATACCTGGTTCTCGTTGCGTAGAGTTGTTGAACGATTGTAGTGATATTTCCGAAGATAGTCGCATATACCAGAGCTAGGATGAACAAATGGCAATCAAAATTAGCTTGCAGAACAACAATGTATCATTGGATGTGGAAAGGTATTTGCTCAACCCGTAACAAATAGCTGCAGCCATTGCGAATGGATTCCGTAATTTATGCTTAGTCAACGAGTGCTGAACCGTGCATCGCGGTCAAGAAATGTAATATTTAGGTGCATATTCATTTACGATTTTATAAGAAGCTAATCATCACATACCGAAAAGTAACGAAACCCTAAGGTAGGGTCGACGACAATGTGCTCAGCATATAACCGAACGTGTTTGATTGCATCAACTGTTTTGAATAATATGGGCTAATCTGTAATGGTGTTATGCTAAATTATCGTGCCCCGAGGAAGCATCAGTTGACAAGATGGGGCCATTTCTTTGATAATTAACCGCATTTTGTGAAATTACACTAAGAAGCCACACAAAAATTATTGTTTATAAATTGAGTTAGTCACAAGTGGACTCAGTCAGACGACGTCACACTTTTGGTAAAGCACCGGATAACAGTGTCATCCTTTCGGGAATCGCCAATGGTACACAAATCATCAACTTCTTTTGCGATCAGCAATGATGATCCCAAATGTATGAATATGTTGTTAGAACCATTGGATCACATGGACGGCAACGGTTGGCATGATCAAGCTACTGGATTGGGAGTTACCGCCGTGCAGCAACAGCGTCCCCTATCTAAGGGGGCTAGGTTGCGGAATAATTGCAGCTATCTATGTGGAGGACAATAACGCTGTATAAAATCCCTGTTCAAAGGAGGCGCCAAAATAACTCAGACCGGAACAGATCTGCCGAATGACCCTCCAGGGGTCAAACATAAAATCTGAACCCTGATCAAACTTCACTGTACCTGAACAAAAAGCTACCTAGTATACTGTGTACAACCATGGATAAATATTATACTACGGAGCGTTTTCGGGTAACATCTCGCTTTCGGCTAAAAGCTCCGAAGTTATGAACACCAGAAATCTGGGTTAGGTTGAAAATTATCCACGCTGTCAAGCGGTGTCCGTTTGGGTCATTGCAGCTCACTCGCTCAATCTGCCGGCCTGAACCGTATACTCAATGTGCTAAGCAGCAGTGCTAAGCAGCAAGGGTACTGGACCTCGCTCAATGGCACCAGGTGCTCACCTTCTAAGCCTTATTTTCAAAATCGTCACCTTTGCAGCCCACGAACATTGGAGCACCAACTGTGGAGAACTTGAAATTAATGCTTTTAAAGGCGAGCTCTTGGTGCCACTGAGTTACGTCAAGTTCCCCTACCCGTTAACAGGTATGTTCGTCCCTAAGTTGAGTATGCGGCTCAGGCCCGGCTTCCATGGATGAAACGAGGCGTTCGTCAATTGGAGCAGCTCCAAAGAATAGCCATCAAGGCAGCACGTGGACTAGCTGGTATAAACATGAAATGCGCCTTCGTTTAATGGATATATTCTCAGAATACAGACAAATTCGCGAAGATCTCATTCTCCCACATCGGATACAAACAGAAAAAGTGCATCGTCACTGCTGAGCTTACTCACTTGCAAACAATGCTGAGGAATGTAAGTGATTAACAACTCAACAACATGACAAAGCGCAGTGTCCATAGTGCCGATAATCCGTGTTCCACAACGGAACACATTGCTGCTCATTTTCCGTCGCGCATGCCACCCTGTGGGTTTTGTAAAGCTATGCATTTTATCCCATCATTCATGTAGAGCATCGTAAAACAAGAATACCAATTTTACCTGACCTATATAGCTCCTGGTTCTATTCGGCGTCGGACGAAAAACGGAGCACCAAATATGCCGAGGTGTTCACACGTATATGCGGACAGCGGAGCAGTCAAGCAACCGAGCGCATAATTAACGACTGGCAGCAAGCAAGGTAGAGTCACTTGAACCTGTGTTTGGCGAAACTGTGTATCTCAGCAGTTAATAAAAACAAGTTGTACATGTACTGCTGCGAAAAATGAAAGCGTAAGCATAAAGTAATACGCACATTAGATGGAAATTGGGTATTGCCCACCCGAAAACACTGCACAGCCACGACGCGTTTCGATGTAATTTCATCTCATCAGGTGGAGACAGCAGGATTTGAACCCATGACCACTGGATTAGCAGCTGCTGTCTCCACCTGATGAGATGAAATTACATCGAAACGCGTCGTGGCTGTGCAGTGTTTTCTGGTGGGCAATACCCAATTTCCATCTACTTTGAATACGGTCCCAGCGATCGCAGTGACTAAGGTTTTTTTCAATGTGAATCACAGTCCATTAAAAAATTGAGGTTGCGTGTCGCAATCCAATCACACAACGTGTAATCCAAACTTGACCCTGCAATTAATACGCATATTGTTTGCAATCACTACAGTACTCCACCGTAGAGCGTGCACCGATAAGCAACGTAGGACACATGAACTACGGAACATATTGAGTAAGCTTGAACGGGATGAAAAGAGTACAACTGGAGCGTGTATGTGTAGAACTACTCGTGGCTGGAGTGCACAGAGGAGTTGAGGCACTGGCGTCAGTAAGTTGTTCGGGAGAGGGGGGTAACGAGTTAACGACGGAAGTGCGCTGTGTAGATGAAACAGGGTGAACTTTGACAACTACAGGTTCGACGCAAGCAGGCTTAAGGCGTCAATGCTTACGGATTCATTGCATCCTTTCTTGTTCAAAACGAAGTACTTCGGCTTCCGAGACAAGACCTTGTATGGGCCTTTGTAAGGCGGAGTTCAGGGTCTTCGGATGGCATCGATGCAGATAAGGAAAAATGGACAGTCGTGCAAATCGGGGTGAAAGTGCTTTTTACGAACATTCGGTCGCTTAGATATCTGTCGAATAGATCGGAAAAGTTGTTTGAGCTGGGGCCTATTTCTACAGTGAGGCCAGTGTCAACTACCATTTCACCAGGTAGTATGAGGGTCGTACCAAACACGTGTACTGCAGGGCAACACCCAGTGTTCTCTTTAATAAAGTCGCGAATGCCAAGAATAGTCGCAGGGAGACGTATAGGCCAACTTGAATCAGGTGAAATAGCCATCATGATAGCTTTTAACTGTCGAAGAAAGCCCTTGGTGTCCATTGGCTGCGGGATGATAAGCGCAGGTTCAAATGTGAGCACACCCGAGCAAACGACTCAAATCACGGAACTGTGAGGAAGCGAAGTGGGTTCCACTGTCGGTGGTAATGATGGCCTGAACGTCAAACATGAAAATCAACTATTTGACGAAGTCAGGGACAGCAGAGTCGATAGACATGACACGCAAAGAAACAGCTTGTGGCCAACGGGTAAAACGGTCAACACCTGTCAAACGAGAAGTGAAGCCGTTGGAAGAACGTAACGGCACAACTAAATCCACGTGAACATGCCCGAAACCTGCGTCAGAAAGTGAAAACGTACTCGGGGTAGTTATG